AATACTACACAACAACAGGGTAAGCAAATTTTATTCACAAAACACGAGAATAATGGAATTTTAATGCCAAACCGTTGTGTTCCCATACAAGCCCTTATAAATCGAATCTTTGTAACACAACACCGTTTATAAGCAAGAGTCACGTCCAAGGCAATCTCATAGAGAGCTTGGGCTGCCTGTGTGCTAGCTTGGGAAGGATATCTATGATATGCCCGAAGTTTGCCAAGATAAATCACCCTGTCTCGGTCACGTTTGTGACCACATTTAATGATGACTGATGACTCGTACACAGCTGTGTATTTAGCGTTTCAGCCTAAATTGTGTTTGCTGAATGAGTACATAATCAACTAAGAAAATTAAGATGTTACAAACGGTAAGCGAAACAAAGCAATGGAGCTTAGTTCAGTGTTGGGGTCAACAGCTTCAATACTTTAATGACTTTCATGACATTTTCTTACCTTATGGACTACCTTAATGATCAGTTAGGCGAATAAAAGAGAGAAAAAACAAACAAACAAACAAAGTAAACACAGAAATAACTGAGCTTATTTTGTTTGTGTGGTTGCCCGGGTTTGATAAATAACTAAATAACTAAATAACTAAATAACTAAATAACTAAATAAATAAATAATTTTTTAACCTGATTATTATTGAAGTGGAGCGTGGTCAGCATTTTGCAATAACAACCAAAGGTGAGAAAAATCAGTGTTGCATATTATAAGGATATTTACATTTCATTTTGGTTATCAAGCCAAATGAACTGAGAATTCAAAATATTTTAAAGCAGAAGCTTTACATGTGTCTTCGAAAATGTGCGTAGGTTATGTTCCTGTCCTTCTCCACCCACCTGCTCCCATTTTTCTCCTTCTGTGGTTTACATTGCGGTCTTATGCGCAACAGAGCGCGAAGAAAATAGGTGAGGTGAAAGGAGGTTTACATTGCGTAATAGTATCCTTTGATACAATTAGTGAGAGTTATTTTTGGTCAAAACATACATTCAGGTAACTGATGAATGTCGTATGACCGAAGCGTTTTATATTACATCAAATTTTTATTATTTTTTTAACAAGTCATCAGAAGTTGTCTGTCCATTGGCCTTTTTAAACTATTTTCACAAATTCTACATGCCGTGGCTTGGGCTTCGTATCTCTTCGGGATCCTCCTGCTGACCTAACACCTTTGTTGGCTCAGGAAGCCCGCTTAAACTGCTTTTATATACATTGTATATACATGTACACTCGACTGCAGTTTATAATACAGCTAGTCGTTCCCCACCCACCCACCCCCACTTTTCATTTTTATTTTCATGGCTTACTTTACATAATAAAAGCCTTTGACACTTTTAGTAAGAAATATGTATGGGTTATTGACCAAGTGTTAGGTCAAGATGGCTGGATATTGGCCAAGTTCTTTTTTGCGTGTTTAGGGACCGAGACAGAGTCGAGGTCCATAAAGTCGCAAAAAAAGAACGAGGCCAATATCCAGCCATCTTCACTGAACAAGTTTGCTCAATAAAGGATTTATTATATGGCTTTCGCGGAAATTTTTCTTGCGGGACATGGCGGGTAGTCCCGAGCGGGCAAGATAGCTCCATTTTGCCCGCTCGAGTAGCCAATCACAGCGCAGGATTTGATTCATCTTGCCCGCTCACGGAGCTAGCCATATAATAAATTTAGTTAAAAAATAATTGTTTCATATAATTACATATACCCAACTACATGTAGGCCCTCTCCTCATTCAGCCTCATTACTTTTCACATTCCCTAACACTTACAGAGATCTCAAGAAAGTTTACTCGGAGCAAATACAAGTTAAGTCCAGGTGAAGAGAAAACTCTAACAATCACCAATTTGAAAATTGATCTTTATAGTGGCAATTTTTGAAGAGAATCCAGCGGTAGGTCTTTTATAATTTACTTTAAACTCATTCAAGGAAGTTGAAGCTACCTATTATTACACTGTCTAAATAATAAAGATGTACCTAAGGGTGTGACTTGCTATAGGGGAGCAATGCAATCTTATTTACAGTGGCCTCAAATTGCAGATAGGAGAGAGGAATTTCGTGCTTGAGATTTGAAGAAAAAAAATACCGACTTACATCTACATACTTGAAAATAACTATTGGAAAGTAGAAAATGTTTTGTATCCTGTTTCTTTTTTAGAAAAAACCGGAAAGAAAATAACAAACAGTGTGACTACGACAACTATTCTGTGTTTCTATCGAGTTACAGAAATGCGCGAGAGATGCGCGAGTTTTCTTTAGGCTATTTTCTAAAGTTATGTATGAAGTCCATTGGTGTATTACTGGACATCTAAGTGGGCTCTGTCCTGGCTTTTGATAGAATTTAATTCGACACCTTAAAAGAAACAAAATCTACGAGAAAAGCGGGAAATAAAATTGGAAAACAAAGTGAAAAATGGGCAAAGCTTGAGAAATCGCACTTCGCTCACTGATTTTCTAATAATAAGGAATCATAAAAACGTTTGTCAATAAAGGGGTGGCAAAAATAAATTGAAAGAAATCCAAAAACTGATTATTGCTGAAGTGGGGCATGACCAGCATAAAATAAACATTTAGAATTTTGAGATGAGAGCAACTGGATGTTGCAAATTATACTCGTGTATTGGTCCTTTATTCCAAGTCGCACTTTAGGTAAATTCTTGTTTAACTAAGACAGTGTAATAAACACGAATTTGGGCAAGCTCAACTTTCTTGAATGGGTTTAAAGTAAAAGGCCTACTGATAAAACAATCGAAGCCTAAACGACCGAAACGATGCTAGCCAGAGTGCTCTTCCGGTAAGCCTAAAATGGTATCCAGGTAGCTTGAATAACGCTCAGGTTTGTTTTCAATAACGATAACGAGTTTCTCTTATATTTTGGTGATTTTATTTAGATTCAATAGTTTCCGCTGTCTCGATTGTTTCGGCGATTTCGTTTCGTTCGTTTCGCTTGTTCGACAAAACTTTCACAAGGCGGTTTCAAAGAGTGGACCAAAAAGCTTAGCGCAGAAATAAGACTTGCTAATAAAGAGGATTAGGTTAGAATAATTTTTCATTTGTTCATCATAAAAAGAGAAACTTCTTTAATAACTTGTTAAAAACCTTCGACCAAAAAGTGGCGGTCAGAAAGAAATTTCGATTTTTTCGATTTCGTGAGCAAATTCACGCCATGAATATAATGAACAAATGAAAGTTTCAAATTATCTTCGCAATTAAGGACCGTGCAATGGAAAAGTCAAACATATTGGTCTCAGAATACATATTCACAGACATTAAAATTCATGTATCTCTAATCCTCATCCGATTTGGTAAACTCACACGGATAAAAAACAAATTAATCAAATAGCAGCTCACAAATACTGATGTTTTCTGGACCGATTACTGATTAGTCATGCACTTTTTGCACAACATGTAAGCATGGTAGTCAGTAGATTCCTTCAGAGGGATTTTATTTCACTTCTTGTTTCATTTTTCTTTTTACTATTTGTTATGTTATTTATATTGTTTCATCGGTGTAAACAACTGCATATTCGGTGTCTATTTCGTGAACAGAAGATCAATAATTATACCTCGTTAAGTTTTGTTACAATGACAGTTAAGCACCTTTAAGTTTGAGAGCCGCAAATGTTAATTCTTCTAGCAAAAGAGAAATATTCTCCTATTGAGACCCTTTCGGCAAACTTTAATTAATTTTTCTTTCTTTCTTTAAAGAAATCCACCGAGTTTATCATGGTTTATGTACTTTGGAATATTCTTAGATTTTTTTTTTT